AGGGAGGGTTGGGGGGGGGTCTGGGCTTGGGGGAGGTCGGGGTAGCCAGGGGCGGGGGTGCCTGGAGACCCTCAGGGCGTCCCCCTGGTCCCCCGGGTGGGGGTTCTTGGGGGGGTGCAGGTCTCCCCGGGGCTGGCGGGGCCCCCAGGGGGGAGCCGGCATGCTGCCGCCTGTGGCCGTGGGGCTCCTGGCTCGTGCTCGCCGGTGGGGGGCGCTCGGTGCCTCCCCCCTCTGCCTCCTTGGGCGGACGCGCAGCCTTTCGGTGGTGGGAGGCCCGGGTACCTGTCCGCTGTGGGGCGGCTGGGTCCATGATCGCTCGGGGCTCTCCTGGCCGTCTCGGGGGCCCCGGGGCGGCGTTGTTGTGGTCTCGCACACTCATTGGGAATCATTCCATGTTAACCTGCACACTCATACACACACTCACAGCACACAAACATACACACATGCACACACACGTATATATGCACACACACACGTACATATGCACACGCACACACATACACACCCACCCACATACACATAGAACGCGCACATACATAGACACGCACACACACACACACACACACACACACACACACACATACACGCACATACAAGAAAGCCCAGGGCTTTCTTGCCCTATTCTATCCCTCTCTCCCCTTCTTGTCTGGGGGTGTGTGTGTGTGTGGCCTCCAACCTTTCTTCTCAGATGCAGACACTGGTATGGCGATATCCAGACTGTGTTGCTGTTGGTCTGCTTATGTATGTTTTTTCTTTGGTATTAATGTATTTAATTCCAGAAGCAGATACTGGCACAAGCTTATTCTCTGTCATAATGGTACCACTGGTTTCTTTGTCTGTATACTTTTTATGCACCTTGATCTTGTTTTTCAGATACAGCAGCTGGTGTGATGACACAGTGTCCAGCACTAAGATGCAGAAGCTTCCTTTTGTCACTCTTTCCTTTTGCTCCACTTTTTCTTAAGTTGTCATGTATTACTGTTCTTTCCCTGTTTTTCTCTCTCTATCTGACCCCCCCTTTTTTTTCTTCTTTTTCTTTGTTCTGTCGCTCTTCTCTTTCTCTCTTTTTCCCTCTCTTCTTTCTCTCTTTTTCCCTCTCCTCTTTCTCTCCCTCCTCTCTTCCTCTCTTTATCTCTCCTATTTCAGTAAACTTTCTCTGTTGGCTCTGGCTTAATGGCGCAATAATCTAAAAAGGTGACTAAAGCGTATATCTCAAGTAACAAGAGGAGCTTAATCCGAAGCTACACTTGGCAAAATAAAAGTGTCGGCACAATAAAGCACCCAGACTAACATCCTGCTTGCAAAACTGCCAAACATGAAAAAAAAAATTAAAAAATGAAATGGATTTTGTTGAAGGATATTTCTCCTTGAGAAGCAAGCAGACTTTATACATCAACAACGCAGACTTATTCTTTTCCCTGTTTCATTTATGTTCTTAGGGCATTAAAACACCCATCAAATTTAACTGTACGGCCATTTTATACTGTAATAATTTTGTTATTAAATTATTAAATACCTATCAAACACCTATCAAAGTGTGTGCAAAACCTGACTTCACAATTTACAATAACCCTTCTTCAAAAACAGAAAGTACATAATACAGTAAAACTGCTGAAACAGCACAAACGGGACATTAGTGTGTCATTTAGGACTAAGCATTAAGATTCTGTGTGTTATGTGTCAGGTTATTTATCTCGGTTTAGTTTCAGGAAGGTACTTCTCTCCAGGATGACCTTTGCACACGTGTGTGTGTGTGTGTGTGTGTGTGTATCCCTGACCACTAAGAACAGTTCCTAAACAAACTGAACTTTTAACATCTTTTTAAATTCCTCCCTCCACCAGTGGAGTACAGTCATCCTGAAGAACAAGCAGGTGCCAAACAGCGAAAAACAGACTTGGGCAACCTCCTTTTAAGCATTAAAGTGAGAGAAGGGGGTCAGGTGTGGCAGGGAGGAATGGGAGCGACGCTGGGGAAGACCAAATGAAAGATACCTGATGAAAAACTTTCCCATGAAGTGCAGAGGCACAAGGGCGTGGCAGAGATTACTGCCAGTGAAAACCCACTTGCCTGCTGGCAAATGCAGAATCACGTTTCCCCATTATCACAAAGGCCAAACACCACCTATGTATCCGTGCTGCCAGTTGAAAAACTTTGTTTGAATTGTAATTTGGTTCCATTTTTATTACCATTGGCTAGTGCTTCATTTTCAATCGATTTAATCTGTTGTTCATTAATTTCCTTTGTAACATTAAGTTATATTTAATATTGTTTACATTTGAGAATGCAAAAGAATTTTATTTGATTAAGGGTTGTTTCCTTTGAGTATTTTGCCTCTATTTTAACTGTTTCATATGTATAGTTTATGCGTCATTTCCTGTATACCGGTGGGAGAGTGATAAGTTGGTATGAGCGGCTCTGGAGTTTTGAACTGTGCAAGAGTTTAATAGTGACCATCTAAGCAAGGATTTTCAGAGCAGACCTTCCCTCTTAGCTCACAAGCAGGCAAAAGTGGTTTGTTATACCTTCAGTTTTAAATTTTGTCAATTCATTTACATTAAAAATAATTTCAGTAGCACAGGGAATCTGGCTGCTAACTAGCGAGCTCACATCTGTAATCAGAGGTATTTCTTCAATTTTTTTTTACTTGCTGTTTTGCGTCCCTTAATCAAACGTCACCTTAGGCCATCGCCTGTGTCGCCTATAGGCAGGGCCAACCCTGCCCTCCACTCTGTGTGTCTGGAGTTAGAATCAGAAAGATATTAAACATACAAGGAATTTGTCTTGATGGGTGAGTCTCCGGTGTGACATGCAACATGCAAGACAATTCAAGGCCATGTATAAGTATGTACAAATGAATGTTTACACTGTTACCACTAGACTGTCTACCTGCAGTTTCCTAGGTAGACATGCTGTCTCCTGTTTGTCAGGAGGTCTGTTATCCACCAGCAGATGGAGTCTGGCACAGCAAGCTGGGAGAGTTTAACCTGCAGCAAATCAGGAACAATGGCATTGAAGGCAGGGCTAAGGGCCACAAACAGACCTCCGGTGCTGGTGTCTGGCCTGTTGGGAAGCCGGAATATACCATGTCATATCACTCCATACCCAAACTGC